TCTTCATCCTGCTTGGTATTTAGCCATTTGTCCTCTTCAAATAAAGCTCTCACATGGAATAATCAACTCCACTTGCTAGATACAAGTAACAAGAATAACAAATGTATTTCAGGGGATTCAGGAGGAGGATGTTGAATTCTTAACTGAAACAATAAAAATTATGTCAGGCTTCATAGTGATTAGTGAACCAAAGATGTCATTCACTCATTTGTTCCACAGTAGGGAGGGAAAGAAGGATTAAAAACAAATAAGAGATGATCCTAACCCATGAAGAACTAAAAAACCTGGTCAGAAGGCAAGACATGTATACATACAGGGAAATTAGACATACAGGAGATATTACAACAGGGTCATATAATTCAAATGTTTTAAGAGACAGGGAAAGCAAAGTACTATGGGCCAAGACTGGAGATGGTTTTACAAGAGAAACAAGTATCTTGAATCATTTAGGATTTGGATATGTAGAAAAAAGGGAAAGCATTTCAAATGTGGGGTTAGACACAAAGGGAATGAGGTAGGAATATCATAGCTATTTCATGGGGGAAACTCTAAATGGGGCAAAGAGACTTCTGTTGAACAGTGGAAAGTAAGTTTGGAAGCAGATGAGGACGACACTGTGGAGGACTTCTGGACTTTTTTTTTTCAGAATATTATGGGGTACAAACATTAAGGTTACATATATTGCCCAACTTCTGGACTGTTAATAATGGTTATGCAATGTCTAATTTGTTGTGAATGTCTTGAGAACCAATGAAGAGTTTTGAATGAGTGATGTGATAAAATCAACATTTTAGATTAATCTGGTGTGAACATGCAGAATGGACTGCAGAAAAAAAAGAAGAATGGAGGTGGAAAAGAGTTAGAGGTCAGTTAAGATAATCTAGGTCTGGGATGAGAGTCATTCATTCATTCAACAATTATGTAACGTTTTCCAAGTGTCAGACGCTACTATAGGTGCTCGGTGATAAATGTGATGAATGTTGCTCTCATGAGGCCCATATTCTAGTGAAGATACTCCTTAATGTCAGACTATATCAGACAGTGATATGTACAGGGAGAGAGTAAAACACGGTGATGTGATGGTAACTAAGGCAGGTTCTGTAAGGTATTCTCTGAGCAAGGATCGTTTGAGCTGAAAGTAAAGGATGAAAGGTGCAAATATCTGAAAGGAGCATTTCAAGGAAAGGAAATGAGTAAATGCAAAAGCCATAAGGTGAGGACAAATGTGACTTACTGGAAGAAACAGAAAGGATAGTATGGCTTAAGCATAGAACACAGGGGAAGGGGGGAAACAAGCAGGAAATGGGGCTCCCAAATGGTGAGTAGGGGTCAGGTCATATAGGTCTTGTGGGCTATCTTAACGAATTGAGATTTTATTCTAAGTACAATTTTTATTCTAATATTTAGAGGAGGGAAGTGATGTGATCTCATATATACTTTCAAATGATCACTTTAACTGCCAGATGAAGAATGGGTTATTGGGGGGCAAGAGTGGAAGCAGAGACCCAGTTAGGAGGCTACTGCAGGAGTCTAGGTGAGAAAGCACAGTGGCCTAGACTAGAGTGGAAACGGAGCCAACAGGACTTGCCAATGAATTAGACATTAGGAGTTCCCAAACCATGGGAATAGCCTGTAACTGCATGAGGCCTTGAACAAAGAATCTGAAGTAGTTTTTCCTTGTAGGAAACTAAAATTCTCAGCCCTTTACAGAGGACCCAAATTCACCTATATACCCAGATAGAACTGTAAAGGCACATGCTCATTGCAAACTCTCTCCTCTCACTCTTCAATCATACCTGAGAAGCCTTGATGTCAGAAAGGACAGAGTTGGGCAATGGGGGAGGTGACACTAGAGTGGCCAGGCACTCATCCTGCAACTATCTAAGCCTTGGAGGTGGAGAAGCTCCCCCTAAAAGGAAGAATAATGCATTTTCTTTTTTACTATTAGACACATTTTAACAATTATTTTTTATTACAGAGCCTCTTCCTCTTGGTATTCTCTTCCACACCTACCACCTTTGCCTTGGCAAAGACAAATGTGAAGTGGAAGGGGAGAGGAATCTTCACTATAAGTAGGAGTTTATTTTAGAATCTTTGGACCTTAGCAATAACACTTTCCAGATCACTGCTTCAGAGGAGTCTACTAGGTAATGGGGTTGGTGTACACGACAATGTCAGTAAAGGGTTTCCAGAAAAAAATTCAGCTGAGAAAAATAAAATGATGACACTAATCAAGAACAGTATCATACTCTGATGAAACACTCCCTCTAGTACCCGGAAGTCCACAGGGGATTCTGGACTAATCCCTGTGAACACAATGGGGTTTGCACACACTGCACCTCACCTCTATCCTCAATCCCAAAGACACTGACTCAGCAACTGGCCTGAAGCCAGAACAGCATATTCTGAATTCAGAGTGTGCAACAACGCTGGGTCCAATTATGACATAATGGCTGCAAAGCTGCTCCTGAAAGCCAAGAAAACCTGAATAATATGGTTGGGTTATATCATACTTGAGGACTTAATAGAGTTTAAAAATCAATTTGAAAATTCCTTCATTCCATAAAGATAGCATTAAGATGAGGGCAAAATCATTCTAGTTCAAGGGATGGGAACAAAGTGCATAAGGAATTATGCAGATTCCTTTCCACATTGTCCTTCTTAACCAGCATGACCCATTTCCTTTGTGGCTATCTCTGATACTTAATGCTGACCCAGAAAGAGGGCGATTTCATTAAAACATATTAGTCTTATTGTATCCAGCAAGTAATGCCAGTTTCCTTGCCATTTAAAAAGGATACAATCCTATTTCCAAAAACAACTATTTGTAATTCAAAAACTATCCACCAGGCAATATCTTCCATTTGTCACTAATATCCCACCCATTTCCAATTCATACTGCCAAAGAGATAAAGTTATCCTCATGACCACAAAAGACTTGGAAGATGTTTTCATTCATTTCTACCCATTTTCTAGCAAATGGCTATGGACATGTGAGTTGCTAAATCGAGCATTTCTCTGTACTTGTGATATAGGACTTCGGGCCTGTAGAAGTAGAGTTCAATCTGAATGTTGAGAACCATCCACTCTTAAGGTCAGGCCCTGGCAATCCTCAGTCATGTGACATTCTATCATCTTCTAAGTCCTATTCTGTTTATTTTTAACAGCTATCACTGATAGAATATTTGCTATTTTGGAACTGGGAAGTGACTCTGGAGATTCCGCCTGCTTTATGGATAACAAACTAATGTTTAACCTAAGTCTTTCATACTGTGTTTTTTTGTTCCATTCTCTATATTTTTTCTTTGAAGAATAACATATTTTTACATATAATGGGACCAACACAGAATTTCAGAAGTAGAAGGGGTCTCCAAGTTCATCCCCCTTTCTTCTAAAAAAATCTCAAAAAGCTTTATATATTAATCCTCAGGGTATACCAAATAACAGACCACATTTTGTATATGGCTTAATTAAGAATGCAGAGAATGGGGAAAGTCTCAGCTTCAGATGGCAGAATTCTTTTACCATAAAAATGAGGTTCTGTTCTCTAAATCTAAGAAGATTCACATTAATTTCATTTTTGAATCTGGAGAAATAGCTCAATTTAGATCTTTTTCCAGGCTTGTGTCCTAAGTGCCTTAGCTGACTGAATTTCCATTAAATAATAGTATCCTTTCTCTTGGCTGACTAGAAGGACTATGTGTTTTAAGAAGTAAAGAGTTAAAAAAAATCAAATAATTCAAGGTCATGTCCTTCCCTCCTGACTAAACCAAAAATCATTTCCCCACTATTTTATGATTAATGTGAAAGAGTACAAGAACAATGAGAGGAAATTCATTTGTTTCCAGTTGTAACATTCCGGTTTCTGCAGCAATCCCATTGGCAACAGAAGGAAGCAGCATGTAACACATGATCATCCTATTACAACACAAAAAGCTTTCAACTTTTAACTCCTTTGGAATGTTGTTAGTAAAGCAGAAAAGACAAGTATGGATTTCCTTCAATATTATTTGAGCAACCTACTTAGACTTAAAATAGCAACCATATATATAGGTCCTCTATCCTTAAGGTAGGACCAAACCAAGATATTGGTGCCCTAAGTAAGCTACAATTTGGTATACCTTCAATTGGATACTCTTCAAATATCTGTTGTGCAGGTGTTTGGGTGAAGAGTTAAGCTCTGCAGCCCTGGAGGGAATGCGGAGACAGGGCTAGGGGAGCCTTTCAGCTTGAATAATCCACTCAACACAACAAAGGCCTTACAACTGACCAGGTCAGATCTCCTTGGAAGGCAGTTTGGTGACCAACGAACAGATTCTCAAATATGTCCCTCCCTGCTCCATGCTATTTATTAAAGCATTACTTCTAACTGCATCTAGTAACCTCCTTTAGGTTTGTTTTATATTCTATTGCCTAGCTTGTTGCATTCCCAGTGATGCTTTCACACTCCTTATAGATCTAGCCTCCCTTTAGGGGTACTGTCTTTTCATTTAGATAGCATGTACTGAGCATCTGCAATATGCCAGGTGCTGTGCCAGGTACTGGAAATATAAAAGTGATTAAGATATTGTCCCTGCCCTTAAGGAACTCACACCTTGGGTACGAGAAAGACTGATACACAAAGAACACAATACCACAGTGATGAAGGCTATAATAGTAAAATGGCTGTTACAGATATTACTTTCTGGTGAAATGGTCTGAAATGCTTGGAGATGGATACTTCTAAAAATAGTAAATACTCTGAGGTTTGCTTCCATCTCTAGAAACTTTAACATTGGTAAGGACTGGGGAAAAAAGCAATGTTTTCATGCTTCCTGTTCCCTGTGGCTGTACTGGGATGCGGAGTTATGGATCTAGAATCATACCTATGCTAAACTTGGCCAAAACTTTTCATTTTGTAAATTCTTCTCCAAATGATATTGTCCCTAGAACTTGCTATGTGATACTAGGAGAAAGATGGAGAAAGTTCACCTACTCCCTATCCATGTAGCTACACGTACCTGATCCAGATGGTTTCTCCCCTTCAATGTAATTGCAAACAAGACTGAAAACACATTCAGGAAGTATTCCAGCTGCTTTTGGCTTCCTCTGATGTACACTCCTTGAATAAAGTAGTGGCAAAAATTAGATTTAAAATAAGGAACATAAAATAACTCACTACTTGTACCAGATCACCTCAAGATTCTGCTATGTTTGAAACACCAAGTCATAGCATTAGAGTAACTGAACACATCAGCCAGCTAGAGTATGTGCCAGTTATGAAATAAGAAAACTTTAATAATAAAAAATATAACTTATTTTGAAGGCATCTCTCCACAGTGCCTCTGGGTACTTTCAAGCTAGGCATCTGGAACAAAATAGAAACACAGGCCAATAAACTCTCAAGTTGGAAAATCCTCATTTCTATTACTGCCAACAGTCCATCTAAATAAAACCACATGGCTACATATTCCTATGGTAAAGGAGACAAAAAAAAAATATTGATCCTTCCTCAGCAGATGGCTACTGCTGACCACAGCAAGCAAGGGGATGCTGTCTGTCTAAAGCACCAGCCCCACCAATCTCAATTTTTACAGCAGGGCCTTTCTGGTTCCAGGCAACTCCTCAGCAGAGCAGGACCCAGGTTACTAGGCTATGCCATTTCACACAGAACTGTGATATAACGATCCTTCCCTGTCCTTGAGGAGCTGAGAATCTTGGGGTCAAGCTAGGCCATACTGTGTGGTTTTTTTTTTTTTTAAAGGGCATTAAAATATAAACTATTATATAAACACTATCTATTAAGAAGCAAGAATAAAGATCGCCCAGGTGAAACACTCCAACAGCCTTAGAAAGACACATGCCTATTCATGTTAGTGACAATTTACTGGGGACTTTTCTACTCTTTGACTTATTAAAAAATTGTATGAGCCATATTTGTCACGAGTGACTGACAGGGCTAAGTATTTGTGGAGAATTGTACAGTATCTGATTTATTCTTTCATTGTTCAGTATTCAGAGGGCTGCTTTTGCCCCCAAAAGCGGAGAGGAGGTTCAGACTGCTGGTCCAGGGAGCCCTGGCACTCAGAGTGTCTCCTGATGAACCTTTCAACCTTTTCACCCCAATTAAAGGTCAACATGGCTGCTCAAAAGTATTTATTGTAAAAGGCAGTCATCTCAGCGGGCTGCCAAGTGTGATTATATTACCACTTCATAGAATTTAATTAAACCCGGGACAGGGAATCTGTGAATCCCTGGAAGAAGCATGAAGTTGAGATGTTTTCTGCTTTTTCTTACAAAAGATTCCTTTTCCCGCCCGTCATTTATTTGCTTCCCAGAGCGCTCTCTCTCTCGCTCTCTCTCACAGACACACACGCGCGCGCATCTATAATCTCCCTCCCAGCGGTTCATGGATTTATCGCTCCTGGTTTAATTAAATTCCCTCCAACGACAATCGACATTGGCAGCGTGCGGCACAGCGGAAGGCTCGCGGGCCTCCCTCGCCCGGCCGCGCGCCGGCTCCAGGCCCGGGAGCCACGAGCGCCCACCCTCGGCGCGGGGCCACCCGCACCCACCTGAGCCCCGGGCCGCCGACACAGCCGCTTCCGCCCCGTGCTGCACTTCCGCCGGCACTTCCGCCCCGCGCGCGGCCCGCCCGCCCTGCGTTTAGCTCAGGTCCGGTCCCGCCGCCGCGCTCCTTGGTGGCCGCGCGTGAGGAGCGTGACACAGAAAACAAGACCAAACTGTAAACCGCCCCCCCAAAAAAAGGCCACGGAAAAGTGACCCTGGCTTGTGGGAGCCATTTAATAACGAGCCTCAGGCAAGGGAGCCGACTTTTTGAGGCGGTGCAGTGCAGGCCGTTTTAACCCTTCGAGTGTATTCATGTGTTAATGTAGTAGCATTTACTGTCCTCTGGGTCCTGGCTGAACTACCACACTACGGGGAACACGGTGAGCGACACTGGCAGCCCTCCCCTCCCCAAACTTAAAATCATGTAGGAAAGGCAGACATTAGGAAATTATCCTTTATTGAATAGAGCGTGCATTTCTTCAGCTAAGTACTTTGAAGGGAAGGAATATGGCCCCGTGAAAAGATAAGAGTGTGATCTAGTTTGGACTGGAATGTGAAGGGCGTCGGACAGGGACAGAACCCTCCAGGCTGAGGGAGGGCGGGCTGGAGGGAGCACAGTGGACCCACGCACGGAAACCGCCCCAAACCGCCCCGTGTGGCTGTGGCATGGAGGCAGTGGGGGAGAGAGGTGGAAACGGGCTGGGATGGTTAGCAGGATACAGGCCACGCACGGCTTTTCAGGTTTGTGCTAAGAGTAACTGGACGCATTTGTTTTACTGTTTGTATGTGGGAAGGGGGTTGAACTGATTGCTTTTCCATTCTGAAAGGATCCCTCCGTTTTTGGAAGGCGCTGAGTAGGGTTTTGGGTAGACTCAGGAAACTCCTAAGTAGTCCAGGTTCCAGGTGTGGTGACTTGAATGGTGGTGCTGTAAATAGTGAGTAAATGATGTATAATAACTAGTAATACTCAAAGCTAACGTTTATTGATTGCTCACCAAAAGCTTTACATTCATTAGTCTGTTTAATCCTGAGGACAATCTTATTAAGTATTATTAGTACCATTTTTGCAGATGAAGAAATGGAGGCTTAATAACTTGCTCCAGTTTTCACAGCTAGAAAATGACAGAGTTGGAATTCCATCTCCTGCTGTCTGATACTAGTATTCAGGTGCTTACCACTATACAGCCAATGTGTACTCTGATTTAAAAAAAGATAGAAAGCAAACCAAGGTCAGGAATAAATCCCTTAAACAAACCATAGTGAATATGTGATATTATTAGAGGACACATTTAGAAAGTAGAATTCGAAAATTCTTACTTTAACACGTCAGCATTTGCTGATAGCTAAAAGGGGATTTCATAACTATCAACAGACTAGCTATAGTTATTTTTGAGTTGATACACTCTTAATACTTAATCTTTCTGAAGAAAAAAAGACAGTCAATTGATAAAGTGCACTTTATTAGTTGCTGATAGAATATCTTTAAAGTAGTAATCTTGGGTCTAGTTATAAATACCTTGATGGAATATACATAACTTACATTTTATGGAGTGATAGAAAAGTTTTCTAGAACTGTAACTCCAGCTTTCAAATCTCATTTCTCATTGGAAAATGAAGCTTCATAAAATAAATTGGATTTATGAGACCTGATTTCATCCACTGAAGGAGAAGAATGGATTCACGAAGGCCAGCAATGAAGGCTTGTAGCATTGGCTATGGGTAAACTTCTCTAAGGAGTGAAAAATTCACAGATTTTCATTATTTGAGTTTAATTGGTAAGAAGACTTGGCACCTCCATATTATTGTTTTGGTTGAGGGCAGAGTGCTGTGAAATGTCTGAGAACCCCTGAGGACGCACTGTGGTCCATGAGCCGGAGGACCAGTTTAGCATTGAGGTGCAGAACTCACAGTGCTGGGCATAAGACATTTGCTTGGGAAAATATCTGGAGTCTGACCAGAGAAAATGATTGCCTACAAAATAAAAAAGGACAACTAAAGCAAAATTAATAAACATTTATTAAATGGTCACAAAATCAAACACTGTGTCAGCTTCATTAATGGATGGATTTCATATTCATAACCTCATTACGTTGGAAAACAGTTTTTAGATGAGACACCACTGAGTTTCTGAAAATAAGTGATGAGTGTCAAGAAATCATAGCATATTTTAAATTAATTACTTTAGCCAAATACTTTCAAAAGCAAAACTATAAAAATCCTTTTATAGCAAGATTATTAAATGTGGGATGTGCACACATGTTAATATATTTCAAGTGATGTGAAAGTAAGAATGTTTAGAGAATATCAAGGTCTTAAGTAGCGCTGGATTTTGTGCAATCTTGTTCATTCAAAACATTCTTGTCACAGGCGTTTGACCTGCTTCTTCTAGTCTATGTCTGGACTGTAGTTCTAGGCTTGCCCTGGGAATCTGATAGGACTGGTACAGGGATCTCTCCATTCTGGAATGTTAGTTCAGAACTCACCTAGGTTGAGCTCTTCAGTGGTCAGCTCTGAGGCTCAAGCCTGCTCTAGAGTAAGCCTGTTGGTACAGTCTGGTTTGCAACTCCTGCGATAACTTTTGAGGGTAGTACTGTGTTTCCCCGAAAATAAGACAGGGTCTTATATTTATTTTTCCTCAAGAAGACAACCCTAGGGTTTATTTTCAGGGGATGTGTTGTTTTTTTTTAAGTACGGTACAACAATCTACATTCATTCAAATATAGTTGTCTTCTTCTGGAACATCATCATAACTCTCCAAACCCCAAATTCCATCCTGAATTTCTTGTGCCTCTATTTCCTTGGAACCACTGGCCCCAATCTCACATGTCGAGCAATAGAGCTCTCATGGGACAGATGAGAAGGGCTGCTCGTCTTCTTTACTGGTCCCAGACGAAATGCATGGGTTCTGCAGACACACTGCGTAGCCACGCCCATCACTAGGTCTTATTTTCGGGGTAGGGCTTGCACACGTGATGTTTAGAAATCCTGCTAGGGCTTATTTTATGGGGAAACACGATACCTGTTCTTCCAGAGACAACCTGGAGCCCAGCTTCCCTCCTAAGGCTTCTGAAGGGCTGGGTATGTGGGTGTGGAACCAGGCATCTTCACTCCTGCCCCCTTGGCTTTGCCCCTAGGAGAGCAGCAGTAGAGACAACCTTTGATGTCAATGCGCTCCCTTCAGAATGCCTTAGAAAAACAATGTATGTCTTGGCAGGTAGTGACTGTCACACCAGCTCTCTTTTACAGTAACCTGGCTCTGTGCTGCCACTCATAGAACATTCAGTCTGAACTTTGACTTGGAGGGACGATCCCAGTGATTGCCACAACTGGGTGTTGTAATTGTTATGGCAGAGGTGTTCAGAAAACCGGTAGGTTTTCTTTCCTTGTGTTTTTCTGGTCTTTATAGCGCACATATTTGTTTATCTGATGAGTCTCTCATCCCAAGTACTGCAAGCCCTGCAGGAAATGATCTGTAAAGTCCAGATATTGTGTTATATTTAAGGGCATGGAGAAAAATAGTGGCAACCTCCCAAAGAAAAGATGGGCTTCTGAGTCTGGGATGTGTTGGGTCAGTGGGGTCACTGTTGACTCCCCCAGGCCAAGCATTACAGGAAACAGAATCATAAACCCCTCTCCCCAGGGGAGGAATGGACGAGAAGCTTGATTTCTATATCCCCTGGGACATTTTAGAAACTCTGCTCTTGTGCCAAACATTCAGAGGAGAGTGAAGAAAATTTTAAAAGGAGAAAAATGTTTATTTGTTTTAAGGCTTGCTCAGTAATCCACTTAGGCCATTTACATAAACAACCTTTCTATGTAAACACCATTAATTATGCAGTCTAAGAGCCAAATAAAAATGCTAAAAAATAAAAGTAATTGTAGAATAAATTAGTATAGCTTGACTGCACATATATTATAGAGAAACTATAGACTTTTACATTTTATTGAGGGAGGAGAAAGTGTGATTTTTCTATTGTTTGAGCTACTAGGATGGAACCAACAGAAATGACATTTTACAAATGGATACCAAAGCTGTTAAAGTTTAAACCCATTCTGGCAATGAAATTACAGTTTTCACAGGAACCTTGACTGTGTCTCCCTCTTTAGCTGTCTTGAAAAGATTGTGGGGCAAGAAGAGAGTTGAGTATCCTGTGGATTTTCCCAGAAGGTTAGCTGGAGCAAGACCATTGTTTTCTACTCCAAAATCAGTAGCTTCCAACCTCTTTTCACCTGTAATAACAGAAGATTGCTTGTGCTTGTGATAAAGGAAATGAATTGTGTGCAGCCTGCCCGGCACAAAGAAGAAGGGCAGGATCTGAAGCTGTGAGAAAATATGGTATAGAGAAACTTGTAGTAACAAAACAGTACACATTTGTATTGCCCTTTGTAATATTTCAAGAGTTTTTAGAGAGTTTATTTCGTTTGATTCTCCACAATAATTCTGGAATATAGGGTGTATATTTTTACCAAACCCATTTTACAGACAAGGCAATTGAAGTTTCTGGAGGGAGATCCCAATGATATAGGGATTGGAAAGCATTTCCTAACTTCTGTCTCTATTTTTTCCACTATTTCATTCATGCTTCTCTTTAAATGTAAACAAAGAGAAACATGGTTCAGTTCATAGCAATATTTTGTGCTATGTAGGCTCTTTTAAGAATGTTTGAGTGCATTTACATCATTTCCTCAGGGAAAGTTTTGTTTTACCTGGAAAGGCAGAAAATGGAGTTGAAATGAGAAAAGTTTTTCATTTTTATGGATTAAACACATCTGTTATGCTCACCAAGGCTGGATCTTATAGCCTTAAACCAAGATCTATGCTGGGTAGATTTCTCACAGCATAAAGAGAGGAGAGTAAAAAGCACCTTCTATGATTCCTGGTTCAGATTCACACCCATCCAGGGAGCCCTGTTCAGAGAAAACAGAGCAGCCAGCCTATCAATCGGCAAGAAAAGATACTGCTGTCCTCAAATGTACCCCAACATACCGAACAGTCTTCCACAAACTTGAAGTTAACTCTTACTGTTCAGTAATATGCTTAATATTTTACTATGTCATCTGCTACATCTGCATGGCACAAAATAAA